GAACACAAAGAGACGCATATTTACAGTATTCAATTTTCTTGATTTGAGCTGTTGCCAGGATGTTTTTTCAGAGCTATGGAATGCAGCATAGAAGACAGAGACTTTCTTCAACCATGTCCCTATGATGGAGAAAAGAGGAGCTAAATTACTCAGTCCAGGAGGAAATAAACAAACTGATGGCTCCCAGTAGTGAGAGGAAAGCTAATGGAAAGAAGCTCATGCATGTTTTCCAACTGACTGCAATTCCTACAGACACAAATTTTCATCTTCTTTTCCATCTAAAATGCATAAAATTGGATGTATGCATTTTACATGTATGTTTGCCTATATATTTTTGATGAAACAACTTAATTTCCTTTCCATACTGTGGATTTTTTTTATTTGTGGCATCTTGCAAGAGAGTACAATCTCATCTGGGCCTCTGCACTCTAAGTTATACTGAACTCTTTAGAGAGAGGGAGAAAGGAGAAAAAGGCATAAAGCAGTGACAGGAGAGACCCCCAAGAGAAGTGAGGGGCAGCCTGCAAGAGAGAACAAACCTGTTCAACCTGAGCTGAGCTACTGCCAGAAGATTCGGTGCTGCTCCTTCACCTGCCAACCTCACAGAAAACCAACCCAATAAAACTGAAATTTCTAGTTTTGCAGCAGCTGCAGCTAAGCAAGCCTGGAATCTCACCCTGTGACAAAGCTGCTGCTACACCCACCACAAAGGAAAGAACAAAAGCATTTAATTAGAAGTGCAAAAAAAAAAAAAAAAAAAAAAGTGGAACTTATCATTTTGGCAGCAAACGCTGTGAAAGTTGGCATTGCACAGTACCCTGAGACAGACACCTCCTTAGCAAACCAGAAGTGGCTGTAGGAGCTTCTGCCATGTCCTCTTGATGGGCAAGGGGAAACAAACAGACCTGCAAGGATCAGAGTGGTCAAGAAGGAGATTTATTATAGTTCATCCATTTTAACTGTAAAAATGTCCTAAAACAACTGTGATGCCCTAATTGATTAATTTACATTCTAAATGAAAAAAAGATTTAACAACTGAAGGACTTTGGTGTTCTTTCCTTGTTAAAAAGCCAGTGTTTTGGGAAGAAATTCTGATCTTTCTCTGCACATGATTCCAGGTCTAGTGGGGAAAACTTTCAGCAGGGCTTTCAGAGAGGCTGGAAAGGAACCTGTCAGTAACAGAAGATATCCATAGTGATTTTCCAGTTGAATCACTGGTCACTGTGTATTGTGCAGTCCTTTCTTCCAAATAAGATCTAGACAAAAAAGAAATGTCCTTGTCTGCTTAGACTGCTTTTGAGTTGGATATTCCAGTTTAAATGACCTGTTGAGATAAGGGCTTTTTGCAGCTGTGGGAAATAAATTAGCATCAACAGCATGTCTAGGGATCAATTAATTTTCATCAATGTCAAAAAAAAAGTACAACTTGAACAAGATCAGCCAGACTGGATTCAGATTGTGGAGAGACTGACAGATTCATATTAAAAAAATCTCAAGTGTGTTGCCAAAACCAAATGAAACAGATTCAGTGGAGGCCAAGACAATATTCATCCATGCTGTATCTGCATTACTGACAGTGGCTTCACATTAGGGATGTATTTGGAAGATTTACTTGAGATTTTCAGGAAGCACTTTATCCCATTCTCCCATTTGGAATGATTGCCTGGAGTTGCCAAAGGGGAGTGAAATAGAGTGTCTGCTGGCACAGAGAAGGAAATTCCTAGTTACAGTCTTCATGAATCTAAAAATGAAACAGGATACTACAGAGAGCACAATGGGTCTGCACATATTTCTATAATTTATCTAAAAGATTCCACAAACTGGCAAAAAAAAAAAAAGCAGCAGCATCCAAATCTCCTGCTAATATGAAAATGATAGCTGACTTCAGGAGAAGTAACACATAGCAAGGAACGATTGACTGGCACAGAGAACTTCCACTGTCCAGATTTAACGTCTGGATCAACAGATGGCAGGTGCTGTGATACAGGTAAGTGTACACGAATTTATTATGCAACAGGGGAGCAAAGGGGAGGCATGAGAATGCTCGAGTATATTGATCAAGCCACAATTAGAGAATGTTTGTAAGAACCCCCACCAAGATTTCATCTCGTTTTGCAGATGGCTGGAAGGCCCTTAGTGCCAAATTGTCTGTTTGGCTGATGCTGTCAACTTTGGTTCACGAAAACACATGAAACATTTTGAAGTCTTTGGAACAAAGCAAGCAATTTAAATTTGGAATTCATCCATTGCTTACTCTCTACAGGTTAGAAATATGTTTCTAACAAATATTTTGGTTTGCTCCTTTAGACCTTCACAATTTTAAACTGTGTTTACACACTTGACCTTCATCATTAAAGCTGATGTGTATTTTAAAGCCCCATGGACAACTTGCAAGACCACCAAAACTACAGCAGTGGTTTGATGTCCAACTGCAAATCTCAAACCTCATACAGATGTGTCAGGCAAAATATTTAAAAGCAACTCTCAAAGCAAAGTCTACACATTAGCACTAATCCAGGTCAATATCAGGACAGTTAACCACAGTGACAAACTAAGAAAAAATCCCTTTCAGAGAGTCTGCCAGGACTGGAAATACCATAATAATAGTAGAATTTAATTACTCCTATGTACATTTAAATGTCGCTGTGGTATTTTTAGACACTCTACAGGAATGTTTCATGGATAAGATAGTCAGGCAACACAAGGGGGAGCATCTGGTTTTGTCTCTCTTCCCAGTGACATTTTTGGCTCGTGTCACGATGTTACTATCAAGGACTACCTCTGTAATAACCACTAAAATGTGTTTATATTCAACATTCTTCAAGGAATGTGAAGGTCAAAAAAAAAATCCTCTGCACTAGTGTTTGACTTCAAAATGTCAGTTTAGAAGCAGCCAAAAATGCTAACTGAACATAAAGGAATTACTAGGTGCAGAATAGAAAGAAAATAGGAAAAGAAAGGAAATAATGACTATATCACTGGGTAAGTCCAAGGTGTCTTGGCACCTTAAATACTGTGTGCAGTTCTGGCATCCCATCTTAAAAATTGTAGAGTTGAGCAAGAAAAATGAAGGCTGATAAAGGTGACCTACAATTTGAAACCATTTGCATAGAAAGGGAGATGAAAAAGTTAGAGGACTTTTCAGCCTGGAAAACCAATTTCAGAGGAACATAACAAGAACTGTATAATCAGTAGCACAGACAGGATGAATAAGAAACTCTTATTCCTTTTTTTTTCCTTTCAGAATACCAAAAATAGATTACATCAAATGAAATTATCATCCAGCATTTTGGAAGAACACAAAAGGGAATGTGTTTTCATACCCTGTAATTAAGCTGTATAACCTATTACAGAGGGGCAATAGTCATGCAAAAAGGCATCATTCAAACGAATGGGGGAAAATCATTAAATACAATTAAACACAAAGGTACTGCCTCTGGCTGGAGATATCCCTGAGCTGCACATTGCTGGAAGCTGCAGAAGGATACTCAGGGAGTACTGTTCCACCTTTGTGCTGGTTTTATACCAGACATCCACCGCTGGCCACCATGACAGCATGGCAGGCTTCCTTAGGGTAGACATGGTCCTTGTCCACTCTCTAAACCATGCTGGAAATGCCTAGGATATTAACTTTTTCCTTGTATTATACCCACCACTCATTGTGCTAACAGCAAAACCTAAAAAGAGTTATAAACCTTAAAAAGTTTAGGAAACCAGGCACCTTTTTACTGCAAACCTGTTTGCGTTTATTTTGAGCCAGGATCAGATTGGACTATACTTTTCCTAACCTGACTTACAAAAATGTGTCCATAAAACGTGGATCAACCTGATTGATCCAAAAAATCCACCCCCAAAAAAACCCTTCTTAAACTGTTGGGAAGTCATTGTGTCATGGAGCAGCTCTTGAGAGCAGTCCAGATGGATCTGCTGGGCTTACACACAGATTGCTCATAAACTCTTCTGGCAACTGGAGTCTAAGTGAGATTTTCCTTCCCCAAGAACAGAGGCCAGCCAGCTCTGTGACTGCTTTGTGCAGTCAGGAATTCCAAAATGAACAGGCATGTACACTTCAGTTTCCTCCCAGCTTCATCTCCTGTAAGTTTTAGTGCATTCTGTCATTCTTTCATGGTGACTGGGTAGGATGCATTACCTGGTATTTTGCAGATGAGTGTCTGTTATAACAGATCTTCCATGTGTGCATCCTCAGGCTGTGGATCAACAGAATGATACAGAAATAGTCTCCCATCATGCATCAAATATATTAAAAGCAGATTAGGAAGATATCTGCGCTATTTTAGATACAGTTAATCCTGTTTTACAGCAGAAAATGAGTAGATATACTCCTCAAGCCCCTTTAGCACTGATTTCTTTAACTTAGCTAAATATAATAAGAAAATAAATTAGGTTATTTTAATGAAAATACGAGTTTTCATTTTGCCTGAAGGACAGCTGTTGACAGTTCTTATTTTTAAAAAAATGTTGTTTTATCTCCAAATTTTATAATTTTTTGATGGGGGAAATATGACCAATGGAAACTCTTTTACTAACACTAGGAAACAAAAGTGTTAAATGGTACTCTAATACCTTCCTCAATAACCCCATCTCATACATTTCAAAATTAGGAGACAAAAAATAAGAGATGGTTTTCGGTCTCTGGGATACCACATTTCTTGGGGAAAAACATTTAATTTCTCTATCCCTGCCTTGTATATAAAGATGTCATTTGGATGGTGTTGTTTCCTTGTAGCACTAGGCGAAGCCAAAAAACTCTGATACATGCAGCACTCAATGAAAGAGGGCCTTGGTAAAATTCAGAGCCTCTAGGTGCTACTGCATGCAATAACAGCTCAAACAAACACAAATAAACCCATGCCCTCAGTCTCATAATATTTATACCTCCACCTACGTATACAGCACATTATTTTACTACAGTGACCAAAATGTTAATGCCTGGGAAAGCATCCACACCTGAGAAAACAGAATAAGTGTGTTACCCAAAGCAGTGATTGCAGCTTCCTGGAATTAGCCCCACTTCATTCCTTACATTCCAAGCCCTGCAGACAGTCACACTGCATTGCTGCTCTTTACAGCACAGTATCTGATACCACCATTTGAATGTGTCTTCCCAGATCATTCCTGGCTGTCTTCCCAGCTCCCAGATGACTCAAGAACTGACAGATGCAGGGCATAACCTTTGTTCCAAAAACTGCTTATGTGCATCTCCGAGGCTGAAAAAGGAGAAAGAAAAAGAAAACACACTCTTTTAAAATATTACACTTGATAGTTAAAGTGAGAGTCTAAAAATGATAGGATGAAACAGAGCGCAGGGATTTGGAATGGAAAGAAATGAGGACAAAAGAACAAGTCTTAGGCACAGGCAATTGCTTGAGTCAGCAGGACAACAGTCCAACACATGGACAGTTTTGCCCATATTTCCCTGTTGCTCAGTTTTGTTTGCTTTGCCAGCAAGCCTTGAGCCTGGTGTGATAAACTGGGCAAGAAGAGCACAGTCAGGGGAAAGTTATCCACAAGATGTCCAGTGGCTGGGACAGAAGGGACTTTGTCACCTTTCCCCAGAACTTGCTGACCACCCCACCTCCAGATCACAGCGTGCGGGTGGTCCTGCCAAACACAAAGGATCAGCTGGGAGACAGGAAATTTAGATTAATGCTGTCTCCTCCACTCTTAATCTCTGAAAAATATCTTCCCAATGGAGCTGTGCAGACAGACTGTCCCCTCCCCACAGTGCAGAGGAGCCTACTATCAAGTAAAACATTCCCCAGGATCTATATCTGGGGAAGTTTCACAGGGATTATTCACAGTCAGGCATATTAAAAACTTTGTCTCTGTTCCCTCTGTTCCTGCTGCCTCCTTCACTGTGACAAAACCCTTTTACAGCACCACAGAGGACAGATGTCACTGTACACAAGGGCAGCCACCCTTTCTCTTGGAGGTTGCTCTGCTGTAGCAGAGCACAATCTAACCCCACAACTTGTGCTGGGCACAGCCTTCAAAAACATCCCTTGGTTGAATGCAGCCCAGCAAAGGTCTCTAGCAGACCTCTGGCAGTACCACCCCCTCAGAACTGTCACTGTGTGGCAGTGACACCACACAAAGCTGCTCCTCAGACTGTGGCTCAGGCAGAGGTTTTACCTGAGGGCCTCAGCAGTGGCCAGCACCAGCTGCCCCCTGCTCTAGGTGGGACAGACACCAACACCTCCAGCTGCAGGGAGAAACAAATGAGGCCTGAGCGATCAAATGAATAGGGCTTTCTTAATGAGGGCAGGATGTCCTGCTGCACAATAACAAAGAGAAGCCTGAGGAGCCACTGTTATCTGCAGTCCTTGGCTCTCTTGAGACATAAAGCAAAGCTCAGGGCCATGCAGCAGGTTTGGTATGACATTGCTCAAGTCACAGCTCTGGGCTATGGCCTGGAATTTCAAAACCAGCAGTTCCACACCCACCTCATGGAATTGAGTGAAGGTTTGTGACGTCTCAATGAGAATAATTTTCATAATGTGTATGTGACTGTGGTTTTCCTTTCCTCAGGAAATTTGCTGCTCCCTTGAACTCTGTCTAGGTCAGGGAGAGAGTCTCAATCACAGCCCTTACTTCGTTTATTGCAATATCTCTTACAGTCACAGAACTGCTATCACACTCATTTTACCAATCTAAAAATAGCACTTTTCCTCTAGGTGTCTCAGGGAAAAAAAAATAATTTAAAGTAAATATATATATATATATATATATATATATATATATATATATATATATATATATATATATATTTACTTTAAATTATCCTACAGGACCAAATAGATCATCATCTGCTTCTCTGCTTCCAAAAATTATGCTAGAGTGAAAAAAAAAAAAAAATCTACTGGAAGAAGACACAAACAAAGTTGCAGGACAATAGGGCTGTCGGGTTTGAAAGCCCGCAGTGCGCTCTCCCGTGCGTCCCCAAGGCCCGGCCGTGCCGTTCCAGCGAGGGGACACGCGGTGGCACTGTGGCCTCTCGCTCCTCCGAGGGCTCCTCCTGGCCGGGAGGAGTTCGTTCCCTTTCCCTCGGCGGGATCACGCAAATCCAGCCAGAGAGAAGAGGACACGTGTAGAAAAAAAAAATTCCTGCTCTTCCTGACTAGCCGGCACTTAGACACAACACCTTCAGGCTCGGGATCCGAAACAAAAACGGGGGAAAACCAAACCTTGAGTGAATGGCAATCCGTTTTCTGTGCGGTCCTCGAGATTTACACACATTGTTTCTGGGCATATTGTTTCACATTTAAATGAACACATCAGTGTTCATACTTACACCCGTTTTTCCTGCAGCTGAAAATCATCTGTTTCCAGGGCACAAACCCGGCTGGATCCGTAAGTCCTAATAGAGAGAGAGGGGGACTGGGAAGGAAAGAAAGAGTGAAAAGAAAGAACGAATCACCACAACTTTCATATAAATATCACTTGTGGGAACCTCCTGATGGAGAAAGGTTTTGTGGTTTAGGCCAAGCACATCTATAAGAATAAGAAATATGTCTTATAAAAAAAAAGACGGTTTCCTGATCTGCTTGACTGCATCAGACACTGGGCTAAAAGCAAATGTTTTTGTATGGTGTTTCACATCCTTCAGTCAGCATTTGCATTGTAATTAACTCTCTTTTTCAAAAATCTAATGAGCAAACATGCATCACAATCTTTTAGGAATAATCCCAGCTATGTTGTTTTCCGCCTGCAAATGACACTGCTAAAGTATTTCACTATCAAAAGAATTGGGGCTTTTTTTTAAATTCAGTTGATATAGGAGATTAATCCAAAATAAATCAACTTCAAGGAATTGCTATTGATGGGGCAATCAGTTACATGATGTTTGTTTATCTTCTTCAGTGAAGAAAAAACTTTAATTCATTTCTACTTCAGATCTTGGCTAAGCATTTTCTGAATTGCTGTGCAGGCAAAATTCATTCTTTCTCCTCTCTCCCCCTGCCCCAAACTTTCCAGACAGCACTCCTAGTTACAAGGAGAGAAATCTATCTCAGAAATCTAATTAAAGGTTTTAAAGCCCAGAGCAAACTGCTATTTCTTTTGCCACTGATCTGACAAGCACAAATAAATGTGCATACTTGCTAAATAAAGTTAATAACAATTCAACAGAGGCGATGCCACTGTGCCAAGAGCTTGTAAACCTCTCTGTGGTTCAGTGGCATCTGAGGACACTCTCTGCAAGGGTATTTTCTAAATATTAAATCCATTTCAAGTGCATTAGTTTGTGTTAAACCAAATTGGTTTTGACTATAAAAACTATCTAGAATTCATGTTTGTGCTGGAGTTCAGGAATGGAGAAGAGGGCAGGGAAAAGGAGGAGGGGAGGAAATGTTTCACATTTTTTAGACTATTTCTAATCTCCTCACTCATACTGCCTGAGAATGAAGTATCTATTGTTTACTGGAAATGCTTTTGTGACTGTCTGCATGTCAGCAAAAGGGTCTAACATAGCTTCTGACATAGTTCACATTCCTTTCTAGCTGTGATGTGTCTTCCCCATTGTTTCTCCTACCCTATCCTGTCCATTCTTTCTTTTTTCTACCCTTGCACTTTTCTGTTACAATTATTTCTTGGCCGTCCCAATTCTGCCCATATTCATCAGGAGTGTACGACTGAATGATGACATGAACACAGCTTTATTAACAGGTCAGGGTGCAAGTTAGTCCTGTCCTACTGCACAAAAAAAAAAAGAGCTGTATGCACGAGGAACCACTGTTATCTGCTGTTCTGCCACATTTCCTCCTCTCCACAAATTCCTGCTCCTCTTTCCCAGCTGGTTCCCCCCTCCACCCCACCATCTCCAAACTTTCTGCTCCAATATATAATTTTCTCCCGTTTATAAGGAAAGGAGTGTGTCACCCATTTTCCCTCAACCAGTGAAACTATTCTCATGTATCACTGCCATGACCTCACCTGTGGGTGCCACATTAGAACAAAGGGGAGTGACTTTAATTCAGAAAAGGTCCAGAGCTCCCTCCCCCTTTTAGTGAAAAACCAGAAGAGAGACAAAGAGTAAAAATCAGGGGTAAAAGGATTCTGGACTCGGAAGTGCAGAGCCACTTCTTCCTCCCCATCCTGATTTTTGTGAGAAGGTGCCCAGTTTCTTATGTTGCAGTGTACCCTCAGTCAAAGATCACCCCAGCTCCTCCCCAGCCATGTGTACCCCCACTGCTGTCTGGAATTTGGTAAAAATCAAGCTTCAATAGCTCATTTTGAGTCCCAGCATGTCTCTGAAATAGCAATACATGAAGTTGAAAGCCACATTAGTTATCATTTGCTTTTAAGAATCAGCGGGTTTTATGCTGAAATACCTACATCTAGTTAGATGAAATTTTTGGTGTTTTTTTTTTTGTTTGTTTGTTTTTTGTTTTTTTTTTTTGTTTTGTTTTGTTTTTTTTTGTTTTTTTTTTAATTTTCCAACCCTGGATAGCCTAGTTCTTCTTCTAAAGCCTGCATTTTCCTTTCCCCAAAACTCTGTTGTTCCTCCTCCTTTGAACCCACCGTGAGTAGAGTACTTGAACACTAAATTCAAGCTGTGTTCTGAGATCATATGAGAATATCAGCCTTCCCCCAGCGGTACTTCCGGGGGCAAAACCCACTCATGACAGCAGGGGCAGAGCCAGTTGGGGTTTTTCCAAGCTTTAACTGAGCAATTCCCTCATCACCTCTTTACAACCAAACTGAGAGAAGGCGGCTGTAACTCATCTCTCTGCAATCCCTTGGGGCAGCCTGGAAAAAACCCAGACAGCGGGAAAACCTCCCAAACCAGCAGCCCTATAACCACTCCCGCCTGAAAGTTTGATCTTCGCAGCACGGACCACCGCGCTTACAACATCTTCTATTTCCAGGCTGAAACTTACACACAGAATGTGTAAACATAGAATTACCTTATATATACCGTGATGCCAAGTATCTATGAGGGACGGCACATGAGGACAGCGCATATTTATACGTTTAAAATGGGTTCGTGCGCCTGTTCACGGGGGGGTGTGTGTGCCACGGGAACCCGGTGTCCCGGCGGGTGCGACACAAACACAAACAGAAACACACGCACAAACACACACACACACACACACAGACACAGACACACACACACAGACACACACACACACACACACAGACACACACACAGACACACACACAGACACACACACAGACACAGACACACACAGACACACAAACGCACGATCGCGGCCCCGGGAGCTCATCCCCGGCCGCTCCGGGACTGCCCCTGCGGGAGGACGGGGACAGGCGGCTCTTCCCGGAGGCGGCGGTCGCTTCCCGCTGGCGAGAGCAGGGCTAGGCTGTGCCGGGCTGGGCAGGGCTAGGCCGTGCCGGGCCGTGCCGTGCCGGGCCGGGCCGGGCCGGGCCGTGCCGGGCAACCCCGCCGGACCCTTTCCCCGGGCGGGCAGGGCAGGGGAGCGGGATAGCGGCGAGGGGCCGAGCAGGGGAGGGGAGAACCGGTCCCGGCGGGGCGGGGCGGGGGCCGTGCCTGGCACCTGTGCGGCGGGCGGGGCGCGCTGGGCGCGGCTCGGCCCCGGCGCTGGGGAAGCGGCGGAGCTGCAACAGGTTCGCGGAGCCGAGCCCAGCCCGGCCGTGCCCATGGCCGGCCGCGGGCCCGAGCAGGGCTACATCCGCACCGTGCTGGGCCAGCAGATCTTGGGCGAGCTGGACAGCTCCAGCCTGGCGCTGCCCTCCGAGGACCGGCTGAAGCTGTCGGGAGATCGCGCCGGGGAGGAGAAGGCGCTGCGGATCCACCGGCAGGTCCAGCAGACGCTAGCCAGGAAGAGCCGGGGCTCGCTGTACAATGGTGAGTGCCCGCCCCGCGATGCTCTCCGGAGATGGGATGGGACCCCGGACACGGCTCCGGGAGGGGACCCGGGACACGGCTCTGGGAAGCGACCCCAGCTGGTCCCGTGTCCGCGGCTTCCCGGCCCTGGGGCGTGCGGACTGCTCGGGCAGGAAATCAAACTCGTGGCTCTGTCGCCTCTTCTTTTACTGTTTTCCCACCGCCGCGAGTCAGGAGTTTCTCCCTCCCAAGCCCCGCCGTGACTCGGTGTGTGCCGGGGCCGCTCCAGGCTCCCCGCTGCCCGAGACGGCAACCGAGCTGAAATTCTCCTAATCCAGCAGCCGCTCTGTGTGCTTATTTTAATGCCTTTAGCTTTACCCACTGCTCCTGTTTGCGAAGTAAAATGGGACGAATCGTAGCAAAAGGTTTGCCTTGTTTAACCGTGCAATTAAAAAAAAAAGTTTGGAAAAGTAACTCTAGGAAAGGCATGAATGGGAAGCACAGAAGGATAATGCTATCAGACATTATTTACCCAGTTCTTTGACATGCGTGCTGCAAATTGACGTTAATCATCCCTCGCTTCCCAGATCTTGTAGCCAGAAGGCCAAACCCTTCAGGAAATCTGCAGCCACACCTTGTGCCCCGAGCAGAGCGCGACCACAGCGCCAGGCACCCACAGGGTGACTGCCAGGTGCTGAGGGTTAAAGGCCAAATACTCGAGATGTTTAGTCTTAACCACTCATGAAAACTTTATGTACCGTGGAACTTTAATTTTGTTTTTAAATGGGAAGATATGACTGACCCGCAGGCTCCATGCCCTGTTGCTCCGTTGTCCTTTAAGAAGTTGTCACCTTTCATTTGCTAAAAGCTGTGTGACGAAAGTTTTTGTAACCATACTTCACTCATCTGTCTTAAGAGTCAGGCAGACGAATATTTTCTTGTTCATTGTCTGGCCTCTATTTTAAAAAACAGCCCATGGCAAAAATGGACATATTCTGCTCATAGAAATCAGTTGTACCAATCACATAAACAGGTGTGCAATGTGCAGATAAACATGCAAGTCCTTAGTTTGGTCATTTAAATACAGATTCTAAACACTTTTGGGTTGCTTAATTTCTTTTTCTCTCAGCAAAGAGCCTACAAAAAGCTTTTTAAGGATAGTTTATAAATGATACGGTGTCATGAACCTGAGCTCATGTCTCCAAACCATCCATAAAACACTATGAAAACAGAGTTCCCCTGCTCTCCAGGCATCCTGGCTTCTCTGGAGTACATTAACAGACCTGACATATTTGGGGATAGTTATCTTGGTTTGCTTTGCTTTGCTAAAGGTCAAGTATTTGAAGCCCTTGCATTTCTCAGACACCAAAACTTTTAAACTTCAAAATAAGGGGTGGAAAATGGCATGTCTGTAACATGTCGTGTTCATGCAAAAAATGAACTTTTTTTCTTTCAAACGTATTTTTATGGACAAGTTGCTGTACAATTTTTAGTCCCATTGTAAAACTCAGAAAAAAATAATGAAAACTGAAATGCATTCCATTAATTTATACATGTGTATAATACATGTATATCTGTCTAGATCTTATATATATATAATGTGAATCTTAGCCAGTCTTGCATTTAACATGTTGACTTTCCTGAAAAATATACATAAACTTGCATGTGTGTCCCAATGTGCTTTCTATGTAGACTTGCTCAAATATGGACCATGCTTTCAGAAACAATAGAATTCTGATGTGTAGCGAACTTTTAAAAAATATGCCCTTTTTTACATGCAAAAGCATCCATTTCTGTGAATTACAGCCCTTTTCTGGCTACATTCAAGGTTCTGACATTGTTTGCAGTTTCAAAGGAGGATTACAAAGATTTAGAGGAAGCAGGAGCAAGTCCCCTGTGACATTACTGTCCTGTCTGTAGGAGTATTTCAGACTCTGCTCAACAAGGTACTTAGTGCATACCGAGCCACAGTGTTCACATGCATGCCTAAAATTAGCCAAGCACATAACCACTGGGTGTGAAAAATCAGTGGTAGGAAAAGTTCTTGCCCAGTGTCATCAGTGCACACCCATTTTCTACTGAAACTATATTTTATTTTTTCTACTATACTCCGACTATACTGTACTCTACTGAAACTTTGAAGCCACAAGAACCAATTTGTCAGCCAACATAATTTCTCTCTAGAGTTTCAAATTAGAGGTGTCTGCTTAGCCTTCAGCACTACTTTTATATGGATTTTTTTTTCCTCCTACCCCCATACTGTTTGTTGTTTCATGCCCTTTTCCCCCTTTTGGAAGGCGTGTTTCTTTCTGATAATAGAAATTCAGTAACCTTCAGATTTGAGGATTCCACCTGCTGCCAAAGGAATGAAGTTACATACGTGCTCAACTCTTTTCAAGATGTTGTCAAGCATTGTTAATAGCTTTTCAAGCAGTTCAACAACAGCTGCAGCTTGTCCAGTTTACCCACTGCTGAGCCTTTATAAATTAAAGATTGCGCTGCCCTTAAATGTTTTGAACAACTAAAGCAGTCATATCAAATTTCTGGATGTTATTTAGGACTGGAAATACAATGGTAGGTAGTTTCACCTTATCAAAGTAAAAGTGGCATTTGGAATCAGAAATTTTAATGACTCGTGTTTTGTTGCACATGCTGTTTTTATTTCATGTACATTTTAGGAATCTTTTAAACTTCATTCTGTTTATGAGTCCACTTGCCTCTCCTCTTGTTCCTTTTGGATTTTGATTAGCCCTTTAAGGCATCCTTATCAGATCCTGACTTTAAAAAATGAGGGCAGAATTGAGTAATGTATCACACAAAACCAAATGGCCTGATGAACTGCTGTCTGTGTACTGATTCTTTTTCTAACAAGTTTTATAAACACAGTGTGTTTATTAAGAAAAACCAATCAAACAAAAAGTAAAAGCAGAATTCAATCTTACGTAATTTCCAAATAAACAGCATCAGATATAAGACAATAGAAATCAGAGTCTTATTTATTCCTCACATTTAATAACTTCTAAAATTCATAGTATTTTCTTGTTACAGTTGTTTTTAGGGACTCAGGGCACTTTTTTGTCTTTGGCTTTCTATTTGGCAGAATGTTGACTGTTCTATAGTAATTTTCTATGTTTCTGGGATAAGGAAGTAGAAAACATATCTGTGTTGACTTTCAATTTTTGTTGGTGTTGTTACATGCCTCTGCTTTCTGAGCCAGAAGAAATCTTTTTCTTAAATTTGAACCCTTGTGTAAATGTCCTAACCAACACAAAATGTTAGAAAAACTCCTCTGGGACCAGGCACATGCTGGCAGAGTGATGAAGGAGCACAATCAAAAGGAAGGCTCTTTGATCTGGAGATGAAGGGATTCAGTGATGGTTTTGATATGCCATTATTAAATGTCATCATCTGAGTCCATCCTGAGTGCTGAAGTATAACAGGGGATGGAAGGGTGCCAGCCCAGGAGTGCTGAGGAGTCCCCGAGGGGGAGGTGACCACCCAGGTGCCCTGAGCAGGAGTGGGCAATGAGCGCTGGCCAGGGGAGCACTCCGGGTGTGTGACAGTCCCTCAGGTCCTGTTACACTCATGTGTACAGGTACAGCCACATTGATGACTGCACTGAGAAGTTCAAAGCCAAAATTTGGCTTTCATGGTATCCATTCAAATATGAAAGTGCTGAAGAAGACACATCAGAGAGTTACCCCTGTCCGTGATTTAAGGGGGATTTGACACACCCAGCTCCTTAGTGGAGATAATTGGCTTTTTCATCTACCAGATATCTTAGCGATGCCTCTTGTCATTGTTGTTTCTGAAAGCAAAGCAAACATTAGGGTGGTCTGTCTGCAGCCATAGGCAGTGATTGCTGGGGAGAAATTTCCAAGGCCTTGGGAGGTGTTGGGCTTGTCACCTCCAGGGGAGCAAAGGGGCCTTGAGAAGAGTCTCTCTGGAGACAAATGGGATTTCTACTCAGTCATCTGTACAGCCTGCTGCCTCCTGACACTGGAATTATTTTTTCAGGTCTCAGAATTTTCTTGTAACTGTTGCAATATCAGGTGACTTCTGCACAGCTCTTATTTTAGGCGTGGAGAAGAGCAGAGGGGCTCGGTTTGCCTCCTCCACTGACCATATCCAAGGTGTTCCTCGGCTGTTTTAATTCATACTGACAGCAGAGAGGGAACTGATAAGCAGTTCCACTCAGTTGCCCACACATGGGTGTCTGATGCTGTCTGAGGTGCCTGAGTTGTCCAAAATACCCTTATGGGTTGACAGACATGATGCAGGGCCTGCAGCAAACCCATTTTTTCCTGACTGGCTGCTGGAAATCAAGTGTGGTGTCCTATGGCCTCTCAAATAGTGTTTTTCCCCTGTGGATGAGTAAGTGGATCGTGTGCTTATTTCCTGAGGAGAGAGTTTTTGTGAGACTTAAAA